ACCCCCTGTCATAGCGCTTCTCAGCACTGAAGCGCTACAGTGCATCAAAACATCCAATATCTACTTAGCATTTGTGCCAGTGTTACACTTTATTGACTCTTTTTGGGACTCAGCCAATCAAGTTAGCAGCGTGTGCGTGCTGTTAGCACAGCTTGATGGTGGGCTACATAATTTTAGGCAAAGTGGCCGTAGGTTTCACTAATGGATCTGCCCAGGCGATGAGCTCAGTATAGTGTGACTTCAAACGGCTTGCAGCACCATCAAATATTTACCATCCATGCTGCTTTTCCACCTGCTCTCCCTCTGCTGGAGTGTAGCGGAGTGCGTATGATCCAGCAACATCCCACCATGTTTGCTGTTTTTGACCGCTGCTAGGACGAATGTTGACCTCGGCCCCCTGCAGGGACAGTTTGCAGATCTCTGACGAACGGTTTTGGCCACCAAATAGGACGTGATGGTATCGGTTTCTTTTTTGAGCACCAGATAAAGCAAGTCAGACGTCTGTCTGATCTTTGCCTTCAGTTCTTTTGTCTGAAAGCAAAACTAGCAGCGGCTTTCCTCCTTTCAGAGTCATATTTTAATATGCTGACATGATAATTAAAACAATTGCTCTGATTTGAGTTCGTGATTTGAGTTTAATGTTTGAAATTAGATCTATTTGTATAAGTGTTGATGGTCACTCTGATAACAGGGAATACAAAGCTGCCTTTGGGAAATTGTTGTTTCTCTGTGCGGTCAGAGATCCTATGAGAAGTAAACCGCACAAGAGAGATTGAAACTGACACCACTGATCTCTCTCTCTCTCTCTCTCTCTCTGACATGCTGAATTGTAACATTTTGATCTATATCACATGCTTGGGTACAGTAGTTTGCCATATCCAGCTCTAAACTGACACCATCATTTTATAAAACATTTATTTATTATTTATGTATGTCTGTATGTATGTATGTATGTATGTATATATACAGTGGGTACGGAAAGTATTCAGACCCCCTTCAATTTTTCACTCTAAGTCAGATTTTCATGATATGTCACCTTTAAAGTGCATTAAGTACAAAATTAGTTGTTCCAGTTTAACAGACTTAGACTTTAAGTATACCAGTTTAGTATACTAAAAGTACAATTGCAGGGTATTTTTATTAAGTAGCCTAATAACGTAAATGTATTTGTTGTATACTGAGCATTAAACAAATGTATTTCAAATACATTTGAGTATATTTGTTTTTCACATAGGGCAGAAGAGGTGAATTGTGATTTTATTTATTTATTGCCATTTGATGCACACATACTTACTTGTCAATGACAGTGCCATTTGATCAGAATAAGAAAGAAAGACCTTTCACACACACACTCATTCACACACAAAGCAGTGTGGATTTATGTTCATTCATCAGTGACCGTTGGCACCTCGTGTCCTGCATGGCTGATGGAGTCTGCATTATTAACAAAGCTCTTCATACTCTGGCTCTGCAGCTGCCCGCATGCAGGCCTTGGCAACGTTAGCTAGCCCCATACTACACAGAGACCCCCTGTCATAGCGCTTCTCAGCACTGAAGCGCTACAGTGCATCAAAACATCCAATATCTACTTAGCATTTGTGCCAGTGTTACACTTTATTGACTCTTTTTGGGACTCAGCCAATCAAGTTAGCAGCGTGTGCGTGCTGTTAGCACAGCTTGATGGTGGGCTACATAATTTTAGGCAAAGTGGCCGTAGGTTTCACTAATGGATCTGCCCAGGCGATGAGCTCAGTATAGTGTGACTTCAAACGGCTTGCAGCACCATCAAATATTTACCATCCATGCTGCTTTTCCACCTGCTCTCCCTCTGCTGGAGTGTAGCGGAGTGCGTATGATCCAGCAACATCCCACCATGTTTGCTGTTTTTGACCGCTGCTAGGACGAATGTTGACCTCGGCCCCCTGCAGGGACAGTTTGCAGATCTCTGACGAACGGTTTTGGCCACCAAATAGGACGTGATGGTATCGGTTTCTTTTTTGAGCACCAGATAAAGCAAGTCAGACGTCTGTCTGATCTTTGCCTTCAGTTCTTTTGTCTGAAAGCAAAACTAGCAGCGGCTTTCCTCCTTTCAGAGTCATATTTTAATATGCTGACATGATAATTAAAACAATTGCTCTGATTTGAGTTCGTGATTTGAGTTTAATGTTTGAAATTAGATCTATTTGTATAAGTGTTGATGGTCACTCTGATAACAGGGAATACAAAGCTGCCTTTGGGAAATTGTTGTTTCTCTGTGCGGTCAGAGATCCTATGAGAAGTAAACCGCACAAGAGAGATTGAAACTGACACCACTGATCTCTCTCTCTCTCTCTCTCTCTCTGACATGCTGAATTGTAACATTTTGATCTATATCACATGCTTGGGTACAGTAGTTTGCCATATCCAGCTCTAAACTGACACCATCATTTTATAAAACATTTATTTATTATTTATGTATGTCTGTATGTATGTATGTATGTATGTCTGTATGCCCTAGCAAAAAAAATAATATATTTAAAATACATTTATTTCATACTAAGTATAGTTCAAATCTATTAACATATTTACTGACATATTGCTCGATACTTACTGATACAAAAAGTTTAATTAAACTTTATTTGGAGTACTACTTGTGCACAATGCATATTTCTTAATATTAAGCCTAAAATGTGTTTTAATGTCACTATTGATGAGGATTGATTTTTGAATAATATTGGTCTTTAAATGCAAGATTTTTAAAGTGTACCTGAAGGATACTTGCAATGGTTCTACTTTAGCACAATCAAATATACTTCAGTATATCTTTAGTTGGACCTCAGCACTACTTCCGAAATAAGTTGTTCCAATTTAGCAGACTTGAAGTATACCAGATTAGTATACCAAAAGTACAGGGCACTTGTATTAAGTACATAAATATGTAAATGTATTTGTAGTATACTTAGCATGAAATAAATATACTAAAATGTATTTGAAATACATTTATTTTTCACTAGGGTGTATACTTACTGAAATTGACAATTTGGTAGGTTTAGTGTCATTAAATCTCTTGAAAGATATTCAGCTTTCTATAAAACACTTTTGAGCCATTTACCAGCAACTAAATTAGATATTCACAAGCAGAACTGTATATTCTTTGAAATATAGTTGGTAAATATATAGTCTAGGTGAGGTTTAAGTGGGCTAAATGAATGGAAAAGTCCATCATACATCACCAGAGAGAAGTCTGTCATTTTCACAGACAAAAATTACACACATCGTTCAATAACATGCATTTAGGGGATATGGGAGAACATACTAAGCTCTACTCGGCTATGCTCTAGTCAACTGTTTTCAGTAGAACCATTCACAAGACTTTTTTTACATGTCAAACTATCATTGTCAGATATTATCAATATCTGACAATGATAAAACCGATAAAGCTGGCCCTATACAGCACATACTGTAACATAAACAAACCACAACTGATCGCTTTATATGTCATTCATCAGGCTGTTCTTGTCTAGAATAAGCTGCCAGTTAGTCAAAGGTGCTACTACATGAGACTTGTTTAATGCATGGTTATTTCCTAAAGTCAGTGTTGGGGAGTAACTAGTTACATGTAACGGCGTTACGTAATTTAATTAGTAACTGTAACTGATTACAGTTACATTTATTTTGTAAGAAAAAATGTGTAATTAAATTACAGTTACTTATGAAAATGTTAACGATTACAAAGGGGATTACATTTGAATATTTACACACATCCACATACAGATTTAATTGATTTATTTCCCAAATTGCACTGACTACTCTGAGACATACAGCCCTATAATTTCCGTGATGCGGAAAACACAGACTGGTTCGTAGAAACGGAATTCCTATAGCCTAACGCGGACGGAATATGCCACATTTTGGATGAATAAATCAAAAGTAGGTCAGTACACTTGAATCAAAGCGCGATATGTGTAACCTATTACATTTCCAAAGTAACCTTCCCAACACTGCCTAAAGTGATGTGCTGTAGTTTTACTTGTTTTCTTGCTGATTTTACTTATATTCTCAAAATTTTAACTGGCAAAACAGCACACACACAAAGCGCCAAGATCATTTTACTGGTCAGGGAAGAGTGTGTGCCTGAGCCATGCACTAAATCAACATGACTAAGTGTGACACTAAGAAAGATGAGGGAGTCCAGAGGAGAGATGAAGAAGCTGATATACAGTAAAACAGAATATGCTTCAGGCTGCATGAGGATATTACAGAGAAACACGACAGCTTACAGGAGTGCGCTTGAGACAAATATGGAAGGATAAATAACTTAAAACCATACAGGAAGCTGAAGAACATTGTTTGTCATTTAGATTAAAGACGCCACTGCATCATGTCTGTTTAAAATGAGCATAAACATTGCTTACAAACTACAGCAGAAGTCATGCATCGTTTTTGAATTCTGAATATGATTTTAGCATTAAAATACAAAATCCACAATGGAGATGAGTTCATTTACCTTTGTTCTCGGCAGTGGCTAATGAAGGTGGTGTGATAATGCTGATATTAAAATATGTATATGAAGTCAGATCCTCATTTAGCTGAGTGAAGTACTAGGGGGACTAAAGAAAAAAGCCAATAAACAAAGACAAAATGGTGTGCTGAGTTTGGATTCAGCATGTTAAATCAAAGACAATTACAACTGCGGTGCTCTGTCCCATGTTAATGAGCCCAGCGCTGAATGAAAGGATAAATAAATCATGGCTCAGAAAAAGCATTTGAGGCACCTGCTTTTCAGAGCCTCGTGTGTATCTGTGTGTGTGTGTGTGTTGATGGACCAGCGGAGCATCGCAACAAACATCAAAGCAGCTAGACAAAAGGGATTCACTCTTATATGTTCTCCCCTTCTTAGGGCTGTGTGTAAGGTTATAATGACAGTGGTCTGAAAGAGAGAGAGCAAGCGAGGGAGAGAGAGAGAGAGAAGGGAGGGAAGGAGGTAGTCGGTACGAGGCGCAGTGAGCGAGAGCCACAGTACACAGACGATGACGAGAGACACACAGTGAAGGTGAACGGAAGAATAAGGCACGAGGGATTGTGAACAAACAGAAAGAAAACGGCACATGCCGAGGGAACTGGAGACCCAGCGAGGCAGCTGAGTCCGGCTCACGATGAAAAGGATCCGCTGCGGACTGCAAGCAGGAGCTATGTGAATGGAAGAGACTGTAGATCTGTAGATAGCGGAGACAGAAGTGCAAGGGATGGTTGGGCTGCATGGGCTCTGTTGTTGGCATCGCTGCTGTCCTACTCTGCTGTTGCTACCCTTCCCCCTGCGCTCTGAACCCCTTCAACACACACAGATATGAGCTCCAAACACTCGTCTGACTGGATCCCTTACAGGTACATCTGTTTGTTGGTGAGAGAGTGAGCTTGTGTGTTTGGTTTTGAGAGGATAGGTGTCTTTGATAGGGGAAAGAGAATGATGAATGGATAATGAGTGGCTCGCTGACAGGGCTGCAAAAGGTGACAAAGGTGATTCTCTCGTCCTTGTCTGTACTCTCGTGTTTCTCGTGCTGCTAGTTGAGTGCTCAGAGCTAGTTTGTGAGTGTCCGGTTGTGTAGTTACTGCTGAGGTTTTGTTTATATCAGATGGTCTGACATCAAATTTATTACAGGGCTCAGCAATAAAGATGGCCCTCCCGGAGCCAGATGATGTAACTGTCACTGCTGCATTGTCACTATACCTTGTCTATGTTGATCTTGTTGGTTTTTTATGCTTTGAGAACTTTTAGAACTCTAGCAGGCTACAATAGATGAGATTTTGTTAAAGGGGTCATCGGATGCCCATTTTCCACAAGTTGAAGTCTATAACATACTTTGGTTAAAATTTCTCAATGGTAGTGTAAAAACACCCTTTTTACCCTGTCAAAATCAGCTCTGTTTTCAGCAAGCTGTTTTAGTCCATGTTGCTTTAAATGCTAATGAGCTCTGCTATCCCCGTCACTCTCTTCCGTGGGGTGAAAACAAACTTTGGTAATATTAAACAATGTATTTAAATTATATTTAAATTAGGGCTGTCAGTTTAAGGGTTAACTTAATTAATTAGTTATGAAAAAAATAACGCGATTAAAATATTTTAACGCAGTTAACGCAGTTAACGCACTGGCCCCGCCCCCAGACCTGTATGACGTCTTACACTTCATATAGTTGACTGTTGACAAATGATGCAGGACAACAACTCCATAAATGCAGTTATGGCTTAAAAATTCAAGATATTGGGGCAAAAAATGCCCATGTATGAGTTTTTGTCTCATATTTATATCATATGATATCACATCAGCAGCGAAAGCAATATCACACAAGTGCTGTTTTTGTCCCGAATATCACGAGTTTAAATGTGATGTTATACAACAGTTCAGTAAATAAGAAGTTAATATTGTGCGTTTTGTTCAATTTTGCCAACAAAAATATTACCTATAAAGCCACAGCAGAAGTGTTGTGTATCTACGAGCAACACAGCGGTGTTTAGCTTTTGAATGAATCTGCGTTTTGAACGAATCGGGTGAATCAATGAATCATAGAGAGCGCCGTTTACTGAATTCCTGAATGAATCAGAGTTTGAACGAATTGACTCATAAAGACATTTACCGCCACCTGCTGGTAGTTTTAGTTTCTTCTTTAGAGTATAATTTCATTTATTTAAAGGGGTCATCGGATGCTCATTTTGCACAAGTTGATATGATTCTTTAGGGTCTTAATGAAAAGTCTATAACATATTTTGGTTAAAATTTCTCAATGGTAGTGTAAAAAACACCCTTTTTACCCTGTCAAAATCAGCTCTGTTTTCAGCAAGCTGTTTTAGTCCATGTTGCTTTAAATGCAAATGAGCTCTGCTGACCCCGCCCCTCTCTTCCGTGGGATGACGAGCAGACTGTAAACTTCAGCCACGAAACTTGCTAACTAGCACATATTAGGAAAGGCGATTTGCAACTTCTTCTGTAGATGAAGCTATATCATGAATGATTCGAGCGAACATAAACGCATTTAGGCAGATCGGGGATCAGCGCATTCCCTTCAAAAACGAAAGTAACGTTAATCCTCTGCGTCTTCAGCGGCTCAGATGTTGGGAGTAAATGACGACTGCTATGTTCATTATTACATCCAACAACAAAACACCTCAATCGCTTAATCTAAAACATTCTTGTCTTCCCCTGCACCGGAGTCGACACAATGGCGGAAAGCTCACAGCTCACTAAGGGCAGGTCTAAGGTAAGACGGCCTTGTCAATCAAATATCGTGGGAGCGGCCTGAGCAGGTCATTCTGACAGGAATCTAAGAACAAACAGCCTGATTTGAGAAAGGGGATTTTAAAATAGGGATTTAAAAAAAAAACACTGGGTGGATTTTTATCATTATAGGATGGATGTGTACACACACTTCCAACACACATTTATGTTCAAACAACATGTGAAGTGAATTTTGCATCCGATGACCCCTTTAAGATCGTTAGAATAATTTGTGATTGTTTTTGAAGTATGAGTTTTGCACTACATTTATTCTGATTTATTTGGTAGTAATAAATGCTGCTGCATTTATTTGATCAATAATTATAACAAAGATTATTACAAATATTGTTGTAAATATTATTAAAACAAAAAAACTATATATTTTAATATATTTTAAAATAGATTATAGCTTATTCCTGTGATGGCAAAAACTGAACAGCAGTTACTCTGAAATCCTTCAGAATTAATGATTTCCTTCAGAACTCATTAAAGCTGTTCTGCTTAATATTTTTGTGGAAACCGTGGTACATTTTTTTCAGTTTCTCATTCTCAGTAAAACATATAAATATTTTGTAACATTATAAATATCTTTACTGTTTTTTGTAGTGTTTCTGAATAAAAGTATTACTTTCTTTTTAAAAATCTTACTGACCCCAACTTTTGAATGATAATGTAAATATATATTATGTTTTTTTAAAAATGTTTTGTTTGTTTGTTTATTTATTTTTGTGAAGCCAATAAAAGTCAAAAGTCAAAATCTTGAGCCTCACATATTGCAGATACAACTGCAGTTTGAATGTGTATTTGTATTTCCTGATGAATTTTTGCTGATTTGCTTTGTTACACTTCTTGTTAAAATGTGTGAAGTCAAATTTGACAAGTAATAGAGTTTTCCCCTAATATAACCCGGGCCCATGTCTCATTTATTTATTTTTTTTCCAGAATGCTCTGCATGTATTTTGCTTTATATTTTTAATAACTTGTAATTTACGTGTGGAGTGATCAGTGATTATCAGTGTAAATAAATCAAACGCATGGCTATATTATTATGTTTGCTGTTGAAGGCATGGCTGCTGCTGCCTCTCAGAGGAGCCTCATTGCCATAGCTGCACTGCCTCTGCTCTCTCATTGGCTCTTGGTTGCTATAAGTTACAAGCCCACTTTCCTCCACTCTTTCTTTGAAAGATTACATCAGGGAGCACTTGCCGCTTGTTGCAAAGAGCTAAAGGTACCGTTCGACCTACCCTGGAGGGTCTAAGACTGTCTCTATGGGAGTGTGTTTTGATTGTGAAGATCTGCCCTCTCCCACACCCCAGTTTCCTGTGTGTGAGGTCTGTAATTGTGACCTGAATGGATCTGAGAAATCTAGCGAGCTTTGGCAGTAGAGGAGCTCAAGGGAACCATAATGGAAAGAGAGGCATACATGAGTCATTTGTTTTAACTAAACCTGTAGAAAAGAAAATAATAAATTATATCTCTCACTTGTTTGTTGTAGTCAGTAGTAGCATTAAAAGGAGATAATTCTTCCATAATTTACTGTCAAAATCTCTAAGACTTTTTTTTTAATTTTATTATTATTTTTTTTTTTGGCAGAACAGAAAATAATATTTCAGTAACACTTTACTTAAAGCCTTTATGTATAATGCATTATAAAAGTAGTTTTAATTAATGATGCTTTGTAATGCACCTTATAATGCATTGTACAATCTCATGAATAATTGTAACCACAGTTAATATATAACACTTATCAATTCATTGTTACACTATGCATTTTAAATTCGGCTATAATTATTTACGACAAGATGTATCGTATTACATTATGAATAATTATAATGCATTATACCCTTTAATAACACTTTATAATGCATAAAGGCTTCCAGTACAGTGTTACCAATAGTTTCATTCAGTGAAAGCCATGCGGTCCAATGTTATCACTGGGGTGCAAATATCATCTTCAGTGTTCCACAGAAAATAGAAATTCTGTGGAACACAAATAGAAATTCATACAGCTCTGAAATTACACGAGGTTGTGAAAATAATGACATCATTTGCATTTTTGGGAGAATATGCCTAGGATCCTAGAGGCTTCAAGTAAAGTGTTACCAATAGTTTCATTCAGTGAAAGCCATGCGGTCCAATGTTATCACTGGGGTGCAAATATCATCTTCAGTGTTCCACAGAAAATAGAAATTCTGTGGAACACAAATAGAAATTCATACAGCTCTGAAATTACACGAGGTTGTGAAAATAATGACATCATTTGCATTTTTGGGAGAATATGCCTAGGATCCTAGTAATCACACATGTGCCTCTTGAGAAATGTTCACATCTCAAACCATTCTATAGTAATATATAAAACTGCATATGAAATATGCAATTAGTCAGTAATTTCATAATGAATATTTCTCATCACATTCCGAGATCAAATGATCTGAGATGAGATTATATCCACATCAATTGTATGGTTTTAATACACGAGTTTCACAATTTGAGTTGAATTACTGAAATAAATGAACTTTTCCATGACATTCTAATTTATTGAGATGCACCTGTACACCCAGGATGTCTCGGGGGTGAGTAAAACGCAGCCTAGTTTTCATTTTTGGGTGAACTAACCCTTTAAGGTCTATGAAAGTATTATTTTCCTATAATACTGATGACCCATATTTTTAGTATTTATTTAGATAGGAATTGGGCAGAGATTTGCCTTGCAAAAGGCTGATCTCATAGATAACACACTGCACTCTTGCATATTGTACCTTAGAGCTATGGTTGAACAGCTGAATTACTCATATGTGGCAATGATTTCCATCCAAAAAAGAAAGTAGGTCAATAATTAGAGAAGCAGCAGTAGGGTGATTTGCTATTAAGTGTCTTGCTTTCAGGCTGACTGGTAATGCAGCAAGATCTGGATCTCTGCCTTCCTGATGGTAGGCAATATTCTTATGTTTGACAGCCCCTACAGTACTAAAGGACTAGGGAAACAGAAAGCAGTGAGCACAGGCAGTAAATGTGTCCTTCCATCATGTATCCCTCAGTCAGCAGCGCCGTTGGGCCCTTCATAGCTTTTTTTCCTTGTGTGATGAGCATCTCCTCCCTTGCAGATGGGGCTTGCTATGAAAAATGTATTGAGCTTTGAGATCACGCTGGCGTATCTGAGGTTGCCTCAGCTGGACCTTCTGCATCACAAACACTAATTTCACAGCCTTGGCCAGCTTATTAGAGAGTCAGTGTGCTCTGGTAGGTCACAGACCCTACATGGACAAACACACACACACATACAGAGCTCACTGGGGGTTAAGGACCTTGTTATCCACAAACATGGAAAGATAAGTGCCATTGCCTGTTTTCCATTTGAACACTGTCATACTAGTGTGCACGTACATAAACGCATTCTGTTTTTTGCCCTGATCAGAATTTTGCCCTGATCAGTCAAATGTCCTCTAAAAAAGTAGTACATTCCAATGTTAAGCTTGGAAAAAAAGCTTAACATTGAGTTTATATCTCGCATTTCTGACTCTTTTTTTGTCTGAATTGAAAAAGTTGCAATCACCTTATTTTTTATTCTGTGGTGGAAACTGGATTTCATAATCTATGGATAGTTTCAAGTTTGCTTGTTTCCACTGTCAAAAATGTCCTTGGATACACTGAAAAAAATGTACAAATATTTCCAGAGCCTTGATCCATGTAGTGTTTCTGCTTTTCTGTTGTTGTCCTGTGACGCACTCAGTGAATTGCAGCAGATAGTTGTGAAAAGACAGAATCAAAATAAGAGTTTCATTGCAGGCGGAAAGAACTAAGAAACATGCGGAAAGATGTGGCGCTAAGAAAGAAAGACTTGCATAACTCTATAGAAATTCTTTAAAGCTATCTCAAAAGTGTGACTGACCTTCATTCTTGATCTGTGCAGTAGAGTAGTGTAAAGAAATACGCAATCATCCCTACTGCGTAAAGAAAAAAAAAAGTATTCTGTTATCACTCACTCTCAAAATCTTTTTTTCTCCATGCAATATAAAAGAAGCAGAAGAAAGGTGAACTTAATTTAAGATATATTCTCTAAAAACAGGGCTTGTCCGATGTCTTATGCAATTTTGCTTCTTTTTTAGACATTTTTGCTTTGTATTTTGTTTTGATGAATGAAAATTTGCAGGTAAAAGTACAGCATGCAAATCAGCAAATGTTATTTTCAGATTCCATTAAACACATACAGTTAAACACCCACATACATATACACACACACACACACACACACACACACACAATGACACACAAAGTGAATTGTCACTGTCATCAGTGAAGCTTGATGGTGAGGGAGAGAAATTGTACCGCACATTGCAGGCAGCTGTCAGAACATATCAATTTATCTCTCATTCCTTGTTGACCCTCATTATAACTGCTGTTTATGTCATTATCTGCCAATCTGATGGGAACTGACACCCTTGACTGCTAACATTAGGCACTTCGCTTTGTGCTTGTGTGCATTTATGTATTTTAGCTTTAGAAGGGAGTTCACGAATGTGTGCAAATAAGCATTGCTTTTTCTGTATCCTGAGGTTTGAGTAAGTGTGTGAGTTACCGAATAGGTGTCTGTATTTCTGAATGAGTGTGTGTTTGTGGGCTTGTATCTTCGTGCCCATGTGCATGTATGATAAAAATGGTGTCAGCGTTGGCAGTCCATAGAGAGTGAGATTTCTCAGGTTTAAATAGGAAAGTAGAGATTCTGAGTTCTTTGCAGCTAGGCACTGGAATATCCATCAGAGCGAGAGAGGGAGAAAGAGACACTAGTATAATCCTCCTGAAAAGACAAGCTTAGAGCAACATGAATTTCTGTGTTGGTCCAGGCTGGTTAGCACTGGTTTGGTTAGAAATATTTTGTAACTGTATGTCTGTCTTTCTGTCCGTTCATCTGTCTTTTAGAGCTGCACGATTAATCGTTAAAAGATCGCGATACTCATTGAAACATCGACACAATCTTATTCCTAAATGACAATAATTCAGCTATGTCTATTACACCTGTTTCACATTGCAAGTGACAGCATAGTGTGAGCAGCACGTATTTTGTTGCTGCTTATGTTAATGAAAGAGGTTTTTCCGTCACCCTTCCGATGTGAACAGTTATTCATTAATATAGGTAGAGACTAAATATGCACTGCTCACACTCTGCTGTTACTTGCGATGTGAAGCAGGCATTAAGGCAAAGACTTAGCTATCAACTGTAGGGTTAATATAGCAAACCTTTGATAGTAAGATCATCACAATGCATCATTCAAATTTGCACTTTGGTTAGAGCTGTTATAATGTATTTAAGGTGTTTATGTACCCGTTTATTGCGATTAAAACCGGCATACGGCACAAACATTTTAATATGATTGTTTGCTACGACGATGAGCTTAATCGCATTATTTTGATTGAAGTATTGCATTTACATGAGGTAAAGTTTATTATCTAATATTGACAAAATCCCATTGTAGTCGTATAATGAGGGTACATGTAAACTCACTCAGTGACTCCTTCATACAAATTATTTTTTTAAATAATTTCAACTGTGTATATATATATGAACATTCTGTCAAAACTATCTTTTTTGTTGTATTTATCGTTCTATCAATCAGCCTATCTATTGTTCTGTCTGTCATTTCATCTATTTGTCTAAATATTTATGAAAATGCGAGCATCTGATTAGCATGTTTGTTTATGTTTCATATTGTCATCAAGGAAATGAGTGAATGCCTGTGGTGTTGTGAACCTAAACTGCTGTAAATTTTTTTTAACGATTTTTTTTTTATTGTCTAATGACATCCAGAGATTATCCAAATCAACACGGATAGCAGAATTCTTGATTTCTTTACGGTGTTTGTAATTGTTTGTAATATCAATACTCTGACTGATTGTAAAATTAGTTCCTATCAAATGTTAAAACCAGCACCCTGGTTGTGCTTTACAGATTACAGAGCACAAATCCTTTTCCACACCACCCTTGATCTGTCACACTTCTTCTCTCCGCATGACCCACCACAGCCACAGAGGAAGCCCTCTATTGCCATTTAATTAACACAGCTTTCGGCTCTGCAATAACAGGTGGCAGAAATGCATGAGGAGGTCTGGAGTGAATGTGTCATAGCTGATTAAAGAGAACGAGAGGAGGGACAGGCAGAGCACAAAGGCCTCACCAAAGACCTCCCTCCTCACAGGACCTGAAAGAGCACAATGAGTCATAGGCATGATCAACACAGCAGCACTGTCTGATGCGTATATGCACTATTTATATACTGTTTTGCCCATATTTTAGGTTTAGTGACCAGTAAATAGAGAGCGATGGTTGTGATTTATTTATATGATAATATAGTTGCTTTTTCAATAATGCATGAGCTAAGATATGTTTAATACTGAAGACTTATGTCATATCCTACGCAGCAGAATTTTTAGTGAAGGACATGAACAGTAAGGAATTACATCTGTAAAGATCGCCTTTGCTTAAATCATTGATAGGTTATATTTTTCTTTTACTGTATGCTTCTCTTGGCACTGGACTATCTTTGTATACACAAAAGGACCAATAGTAAGTTTGAATCGTATCTCTGTTGGCGCAACTCTCGCTGTGGCACATCTTTTTTGTGAGATTTCCCCATTAATCTTGTTTTGTCCTCTTGCAGCACCTTGGATGATGAGGGCACGAACCTGCGACAACAGAAGCTGGACAGACAGGTGAGTCTTCCTTTGGTTTCTTTTCAGCACTGTGTACAGAGGGTTCTGCTCAAAGGAAATGGGATAAATCAAATAGAATGAACAAAAGAAAAAACAGGCAGAAACAGAGCAATGAGAGAGAAACCATTCATTGAGGAGTCACATCACGGAAACATATTCTCAAGACAGTTTAAAGAAAATGCCTTTGATAAGATTCCATATGCCAGCAGTCCCTTTGCCTTACGTTATGAGCTGTTACTTCAATAGACTTGTATGGAAGCAGATTAGATTAATTCACGCAAAAGACACGATGCACACATGCGTATCCCAATTCACATGCACGAAAAAATATATATTTATTCACAAAAACCAATTCACGTGCACAAAATAAGTATATACATTCATAAAATACACTTCACAAATGCAAAACACAATTCACAGATGTACAACTGTGTACAAAATTTTTGATTATTTAAAATTCACGCAATTCACATGCACGAAACCCAATTCACGTGCACGAAATAAGAATAAATATTCATAAAATACATTTCACAACTGCAAAACCCAATTCACAGATGTACAAATATATAAAAAAAATTTGAATGCTTAAAATTCACGAGTTCATCATGGACTGTGAATGTGTGAATCGCCTTGGATTTGTGTGAGTATTTTTGAGACTTTCCTGGTAGCAAACTCCTCCCACGCGGGACACTCGTACTCTTTAGCCAATCAGATTTGTGCCTGCCGATCGACCAATCATAACCCGCTGTTGGCCTGCCTACCTGGATGTTACGTCATCAGCGCGAGACCACAGTTCAAGTCACGGTTCAGCAGAGTAGAGGTTTGTGCAGTTGATTGTTTCATTTCAGTTAACTAGCCTTGTGGTGTATTGTTTTATCTTTGCATGCTTACTTAAAACTTGGAAGTAAAATCGGTTGTTTAGACACACTCGTTAACATGACCAGTGTAAGCTCGCGTGTGCTGCGGCCCTCCCCAACTTTTTGAATGGGAGTTTGGTTAAATCCCCTAAAATAAGGTCCGTGGTTCACACAAGCTCAAGATACTTTCACGTTTTATTCTATAACATAAAACACACCAGTTACACCCCACTCGTGATTTCTTTAAACTGTTACGTTTCTTGAAAAAGACGGTTGCTAACAAGTTGCTAAATGGAACTACAGGCACTGTCTGAGACAGTAAACGTCATCACGCCAAACAGTTTATCAATTTACAGTATTATCCAATCGTAATGTATAATTTATAGTACAATTAATTGTAGAATAACCAATTAATAGTTTCCCGCATTTTATATTATTCAACAATGTTTTTTTTGCTTTGCCCCGAAATGCAACACAAGTCTTTGGATGGAAGATGCTCGTTTTATCGCTTTCCTACTGATGCGGAGACTCTGTAAACTCGGTAAACTCATTATTATTCCATGTAAACACCACATTTACCGGCTTAGTCGTGGTGAAAGTGAAACTTTAACAATGCATAGTGCTTAAAGCCACGTTAAAATTAAATGTTTACGGCTACATGAAGCTGTTACGAAGCATACTGAGAATTTTCTAGAAGCAAGGATAAAATAACATTTTGTGTACCCACCCTAACAAAACGAAAGCTGAAATGTGGTACTTTATTCACTAAAATAAGTTTAATCTTACCATATCCAAAAACTCGCTCACTCTGCTGTTATTTAATATAACAGCAGATATATTCAATAATTTTATTGAATAGTTCGTGGAGACACGTTTTTAATTAAAATATTCATATTAATCAAGGATTTATTAACTTTTAATGCACCTTATTTTGAAATGTACAGAAATACGTGCGTTCATATGTCCTTTAGTTATAATTATTTAATTTATTCATTATACTATTTATTTATTACTAATGTCTCATTTCAGTTTTAGTTTGGCTCTAGTTTTGTATTTATTCCAGTTTATATGAAAAGGATCATGTAGCGTGGATTAAAATTGAGTTAACTCCTTGGCTTGTTAACTCGTATACTTTTTCAAGAGATACAGATACATAAAGAGCAGGAAGCATAAGATAAAATGATAAAATAACTGAATAAAGTTTACTGAAGAGTCTTTGCTGCATTCCTTTTTATGATCAGTCTGTCTTTGTCTGAGATTTTTACATTACAACCCAACACAAGATTAAACATTAACAATGGTTAATCACAGTAATATGTGAAAAAATAAGTAAATGAATGTTGATTACATTAAGAAATGAATAAAGGTAAAGTACATAAAAGAGATAAAGATTAATGTGAAGGAAGAGGCCTGTAACTCATCCAGATGTTGTGCCAAAGTGTTTAAATCCTGAAAAATGCAAGGAAAACAATTAGTGTGTACGAATTAAACAATGCATCCTGTTGCACAAATGGTAAGTACAAACACTGTTATTCATACACGGAGTTCTCGTGAGGTCTATTCTTCTTTATATAAAGCTATGATGATGAGGGCAGGGTCAGCGCTAAGTGGGAGCTAAACATTGGCCACCCAGCGTTGCTGAACAAAAACTGGGCAATGAGCAGAATTCTTTCTTCATTTTGGCCAATATACGGGACATTGTGGCTAACACAAGACAGCTGCATTTTTGGCAACACTATCTGTATTCATAGCAGCCGCTGGCTTACACTGGTCATGTTAACGTGTCTAAACGACCGATTTTACTTCCAAGTTTTAAGCATGCAAAGATAAAACAATACACATTTACAAGGCTAGTTATCTGAAATGAAACGATCAACTGCACAAACCTCTGCCATGACTTGAACCGTGGTCTCGCGCTGATGACGTAACATCCAGGTAGGCACACCCACAGCGGGTTATGATTGGTCGATCGACAGGCTCAAATCTGATTGGCTAAAGAGTATGAGTGTCCCGAGTGGGAGGAGTTCGCTGCCAGGAAAGTCAAGATGGTCCTCACTGCAGAACACAAGATCCAGGGGGCATGGTTGGATCCAGATCCAACTCCTCCCACCTTACATATACCTAAACCTACCCGTCTCCACCCCCTGATCCCTAAACCCACCCATCTCCACCCCTAAACCTACCAATCGCCGTGGATCCAACCACGCCCCGTGGATCTTGTGTTCTGCAGTGAGGGGCTACTGGGAAAGTCTCAAAAATACACACACAAATCCAAGGCGATTCACACATTCACAGTCCATGATGAAGTCGTGAATTTTAAATAATCAAAAATTTTGTACACAGTTGTACATCTGTGAATTGTGTTTTGCATTTGTGAAGTGTATTTTATGAATGTATATACTTATTTTGTGCACGTGAATTGGTTTTTGTGAATAAATATATATTTTTTCGTGCATGTGAATTGGGATACGCATGTGTGCATCGTGTCTTTTGTGTGAATTATTATTGAGTTAATTTGCTTCCATAGACTTGCCCCAGATAGCTTTGAAAACGTATGCCAAGATTGATACTTTCTGTTAGCCAGACTCGTTCCTCTGTGGTCTTCATTAGTCTTGTGGTTTGCATTGGATATGCTGATAATCCTTTGTTATTATTGTATTCCGCATTAGACTCTAAGAACAACAGATGGGTTCCATGGAAACACTCACAAAGTTTTGGGCAGTCCATGTTAGTTAATCTGTGAGGTAGTTATTCTTTGCCACAAGCATGTAATTTTTCACAAATTTCTTTAGAAATATTTTTAGACAAAATGTGACAAGGCATGATGTACATAATAATAAGGTACCATGTACAGAGAGTTGTAAATTAAACTCTGACCAGAGCCAGTGCGAAACACCCTGAAGGGATTTATTTTGCAATAATGACTGGCTGTTTGTACATTAATCCTGCTCATTATTATACACCTATACAGCTATTTAGCAAAAAATAAAAAAATACTTGGACATACAATTTTCGTTAAAGTTGAAAGTACTGTAATATCTAGATTAGTTTGAATAATAAGAAAAATAGTCCATTACAACATACGGTAGAAAGCCTAGCAACAAGACACTGCACACTGCAACAATACTACAATCATTTTTTTATTATTAATGATCTTAATTATTATTATTAAGCTTTGTATAGACTAGTTAACATATTTAGCTGCAGTGCCTTCCACTATGTCTCACATTAGTTTGTTGTTTTTCTGGCCAAAGCTATGTTTTTTTTGTTAGCTGAGTTTTATTCTTACTACATACACTACCTTTCAAAAGTTTGGGGTGAGTAAGATTTTAATGTTTTGAAAGACATCTCTTTTTTGATTTATATCAAAAGTAATAATTCTAATATGCTGATTTGGTGCTCAAGAAACATTTACTGTCATTTCCAATGTTTAAAACAATTTTTTTTTAAAGTGAGGGTAGATAGCCTTTCAGGCAGCCCCGTTGTGCTACAGGTGTCCCGAGTTTGAATCCTGACACGAGGACCTTTCTCGATCCCACCCCTATCTCTCTCCCACTTTGCTTCCTGTCAGTACTGATCTGTCCTATCATAATAAAGGCAAAAATGCCAAAAATAAATCTTGACCTTTTTTTAGGATTTTTGGATGAGTAGAAAGTTCAAAAGAACAGCACTTATTTGAAATATATACTGTAAAAAATTTTAACGGTTTGAATGCCTTTACTGTCACTTGATCAGTTTAATGCATTCTTGCTATATAAAAGTATTAATTTATAAAAAATCTTGCTGAGTCCAAATTCTGAATGGTAATGTGTACATATATTGATATTATTACGGATGTCCTTCTGAGTAATTTTACAGTCAGTAGCTAGCCGTTTTTTAGCCAGAAACTGAATTTCATAATTTAACATGAGGTGTAGTTCATAATTTAACATGATTCGAAATCAATCTTGAAAACTTGTGACATCCAGTGGAATACTTGCAACCAGCAGTATCAAGATCAAGGTGTCAGGGTTATTCACACAGATTTGGTTGGTTTATTCTCAAATTTCAGACCGATATAAAAAGATTCAGTGACGCATTCTCAAAGTATGAGAACTACAGAGCTGGGACAGATTTAGGGTGTTAGAGGAGACAGAAAGAGCA